GGTGGTTCTTGTGCGTCCTGAAGGTCAGGGAGCCTCGCGTCAGGGGTTTGCCATGTCTGGGGTTTGAGCTTCTGGGTCCTGTGTCCAGTTGGAGGGTGTCTTTGGCAGCCATGTCCCTCATGCTTTGTAGAAGGGTGAATAGTGGTGGAGCCACCATTGGTGCCTGGCGTGGGCCACATGGGGCAATGCGTGCCCTGCGTGGGGTTTCTCAGCTGTCTTAGGTGAAGCAGAGAAGCAAATCTTACAGAGGAGGTGAGCTATTGAAAGAATTATTTTTCTCGTGAAGATTAAAGGCCTGGGGCGCAGCTCACTGTTGGCATCTTGTCTAACATATGGTGTGCAAGGTCCTGGGTTCGTTGTCAGCACCACACACACGCATCACACAAAAATGTACACACACACCATACACACAGCACACATCACACAAACATGTACACACACAGCACACACACACACCACACACACCACACACACATCACACAAACATGTACACATACACCACACACACATCACACAAATGTGTACACACACACCATACACACACCACACATCACACAAATGTGCACACACACATATACCACCACACACACACCACACATACCACACACACACCACACAAACATGCACACACACACCACACACATATACCACACCACACACACACCATACACACCACACACACATCACACAAACATGTACACACACACCACACATATACCACACCATACTACACACACACCACACACACACACCATACACATCATATGCACATATCACACACACAAACACACATGCACACACATACACCACACACACCACAAACATCACACACATATCACACACACACACCACACACAACCAAACACACACTGACACCACACACTCACATACACACAGAATAATGTGTGTGTAATTTTAAAGCATTTAACACTACTTTATCTAATGCTAATAAACACTAAACTCTTTAAAATAATCGCCGTGAGTAAACAGGGGAAGGGGACTCAGTACTGGAGCTGGTGGTCCTCACAGCTCGTCCAAGTGGGAAGTGATTGCTTTTAATCCCAAAGGAGGTGGAGGAGCGGGACAGAGCAGGCCCCGTGTTCACATGGGCCGGGAGCCTCGCTCTAAATCTAGCTGCTGTGTAGGCTGAGTTATTTACTTCGCTAAAGATACACACATGGACATGCGAACACACACCCATCACTTGTTTGTGTAGACATTCGTCAGGTCATATTTGTGCATTGTTGGTTTTATTTTATGTCTCAGTTTTTCTCTTGTCATCTCTTACTCCTATTTTTGGTTTATGGAATCTGGAATCTTCTTATCTTTTAAGTATCTTTATTTATTTTATTGGTATTTGGGTTTGAACTCAGGGCCTCTTGCTCGCTAGGCAGGTGTTATACCATGTGAGCCATGCCCCATGCTTTAGTTATTTTTCAGATAGGGTCTTGAGTTTTTTGCCCAGGGCGGCCTCAGACAGCAGTCCTCCTACCTACAGCCTCCCGAGGGCTGGGATTACAGGGAATAACCACCATCCATGCCTGTCTTACTGATTGAGGTGGTGGTGGGGTCTTGCTAACTTTTTTCCTGGCTGGAAAGATAGACTATGAATAAGGAAATAGAATAAAGTACAGTAAAAGATGAAATGCAGGAAATCTGAGTGGGTTAATTTTTGGAAGGGTGTTTGGGTTGGTGATTAGATGAATTTTCCCTAAGATTTTCTGTATTTTTGAAATTTTCTGCTTGAAGCAAAATCATAACATCAGGAAAACTGTTGTATCTTTAAGAAAGCCGTTGTGCCTCGTGTCTCACACCATCCCATGTTCTCGCAGGGGGTTGCGGCAGCCAGTGGGCCCACACAGCAGGGCCAGGCCGGGCAGAGGGGTCTCCAGGCTCACAGCAGCTCCTTGGGGTTGAGTGGGAAAAGCTGCCTGGGTTCCAGGAGAGCACGTGACCTTCATAGCTGAGGATTCAACATCTGTGGGCTCAACCAAAAACTTGGGGAGGGGCAGGGGAGAAAATCCCAGAAGGTTCTGAAAGGCAAAATTGAAATTTGCCTCACAGCAAGCACTAATGTGAGTCTACACAAATGAAGACTTGCGCGCATCGTATTAGGTATGATAAGTAAGGCATATTATAAGGGGATTCAAAGTGTTTGGGAACCCAGCCTGGGGTGGCTCAGTAGTAGAGTTCATGCTTAGAGGCCCTCGGTTCAAATCCCCAGCAGCCCTTGCCCCCAAAAGAAGGATATGTGAAGGCTGCATGCAAACACCACACTATTTTATATAAGGTATTTGGGCATCAGAGGATTTGAGGATCATGGGTAATGTCCTGGAACTAATGCTCAGATACCAGGGGACAGCAGCACCTGTGGCTCTTCACCTGACCTTGCACAGTGGAGTGTGAGAGCCCAGAGAGGACGGTGACTCACTGAAGAGCATTCTCGAGCTCTTCCTGTATCTGGACACTCAGCCCCTGCTCTGAGGGGTTTGCATCCCCCTGGAGGGAAGGGTGAGACAGTAAATTAGTGACACTCACGTGGAAGCTGTTGCCAGTAGTGACACAGCCTGGGATGACGGGAGCTGCGTGGTACGGAGCAAGGAGAAGGGACTTCCAGAGGGGGTATCTTGGGTGCAGACCTGGGGGTGGGCAGGAGCTGGACAGTCACAGGGGTGAGAAATCATCGGGGTGGCTGTGGGTGGTGAGCAGGCAGGGACAGTGTGCTAGAGAGGTCATCGAGGGGCACAACCAGCTGCAGACAGTGGGCCTGCCACCCCAGTGGTGGATTTGCTGGGGACTGCAGCCTCTGACCGAGGTTTCAGGAGATCCCTGGCTGCCCAGGTGGTGGATTGGAGCAGGGCGAGGATAGGGCAGAGGGTGACTGCAGAGACATCCAAACTAACTGCTACAAAGTGGTGTTTGTGTGGTTTGGAGGGAAGGAAGAGGGAGCACAATTTAAGAAGAAAAATCCAAACACTTTTGTCAGTTTCTATGTTTGGATTTTACCAATGGGACAGGCTTGCATTTGATGTGGGGACCACTTTCACTGTCACTAGGTAACATCCTCATTGTCGTGCTGCAGATACCAGATACCCACATCCCTGTTTAATTACTTAGGCTGAAGCTGGGTGTGAGTGGCTCACTCCTGTAATCCTAGCTACTCAGGAGGCAGAGAGCGGGAGGATCAAGATTCGAAGCCAGTTGGGGCAAACAGTTCGTGAGACCCTATCTTGGAAAAAACCATCACAAGAAAGGACTGGTGGAGTGGCTCAAAGTATAGGCCCTGAATTCAAACCCCAGTACACACACACACACACACACACACACACACACACAAAATTACATAGACTGATACTTGTATTTTAAACTGATATACTTATAAATACACATAATAAAGAAAAAAGTTGATCTGTCAGAAGAACATGTGGCTTAGAAGGCCATACATTTAAAAGTTTTAATTGACACATAATAACTATATACTCACAGGGTACAGTGTAACATTCAATAAATGTATACATTGTAATGATCACATCAGGGTATTTAGTCTTATTAGACACCTTTTTTTTTTTTAAGATGAGGACTCTCTATATAGCCCAGGCTGGCATTGAACTTGCTCTGTAGCCTAGGCTGGCCTGGAATTCCTAATCCTCTGACCCCAGCTTCTCAGGTGCTGGGACTACAGGCAGACACCACCATGCCTGCCTAAATGGATGGGCATATTTTGATTTACATAAAGCTAAGCTCAGTTGGTCATAGCTTAGCAGCATCTGCAAAATTTGATCCATTTCAGAAATCAGCTCATTAGCATTGTCTAGGCTGGTGTTTTCTTAGCTCAGAACTGCTTACCTGAGTGTGGGAATCCTAATATTCTGTTTTGGAAGAATGGCTCATTGCTTTAGGTGTCTAACATCCTGGATTTTCTATTTATTGTTGCATAAGTTTGACTTTACCCTTGACAAATCATTTCAGTTTGAGAGTGCTTTCTGTGCAGAAGATGGGTAATAGTACACCTCCTGTCACCGTGATAGCTGGGCAGGGGCTCAAGTAACCTAGGAGAGAGAGAAGCATGTGCAAAGGTCCTGTGGTGGGAGGAGCAGGCTGATAGTGCAGCAACTGAAAGATGTCCTGTGTAGTTGGAGAACAAAGGGCAAGGCAGAGATGCCCACCATCACACGGTGGATGTAGGCCAGGACAAAACTGGGCAGGATCTTGCAGAGTTTGTTGGGGGTTGTAATCTTTATGTGACCTGCAAAAGGAGGATTAAGTTGGGGAGCAATATAAAATTGGTAGATATGCTGCCTCAGTCAGTCCTCGAAACAAAAGTATGTCTGAGGTGATATTATCCCCATTTTAAGCCAGCACAGAAGGGGCACCTTGCCAGGTAAGGGGTGATGTCGCCTGAGTCCATGGTCCTATGTCCTGCCGGGCAGCCTTCCTTGGTCACAGTGTAATATCAGCACGATTTAAAAACCCTTTGAACTCTTAAGATGAAAGATCCCCTTAAATTACAGAGCATGGTCTTGCTGTGCAAGCCTGAGCAGTCAGGAGACAAGTGGGTTGCCTGGGTGCTTTGGAAGGGCCAGCATGCATGGCTGCAATCCAGCCACTCCCGGGGCCTGCCTGTCTGGTGGAGCTGTCGCCTGTCCCAGCAGCTATCAGCTGAGGAAGGCTTGGGCTCCTCTGGCTGGCCATTTGACACTGCCTTTGTCCATAAGGACCCATTGTCTGTGAAATATGCCCCAGGTTTTAGGGACTTTGAATGGGGAAATCAGATCTGGGAGTTGATGCCTGGTGTCACTGGGGTATCGTACAAGGCCAAGTTTCTGCTTTCTGCCTCTTGGGTACTCAGCTGGCTTAAGTGCATTCTTAGACTCTGGTGTAGAGATCACAGCCACGATTGGGAACCCAAGAAGCCCAGTTAAGGGTTCAGTGGGAAAACACCTGCCGGCCCCAGCCCATGGGTTTCTTGCAGACAATGACAATTGTCTTTTCTTCCCTAGTTGACCATGTTGTTCCTGAGCCAGGGACAAGCCTGTTGGCCGCCTTTGACCAGTGGCGAGAGTGGGCTGACAGCAAGTCCTGCTGTGACTACTCTCTGCATGTGGACATCACCGAGTGGCACAAGGGCATCCAGGAGGAGATGGAGGCTTTGGTGAAGGACCACGGTAAGTCTTGAAGGCCTGGTGCCCCCTGTAGGTGCTCCATTTCAGTGCACAGACAGGCACAGCCCTGGGAGGACAAACCCTGAATGGTATCCCTGCTTCATGGCCAGGCCTGCCCCTAGCAGAGTCTGATAGAGGGCTTTGGGCTACAGCTCATCTGGTTGGAAGGGGCCTCTGCCGGTGGGAGCATCGTACGTCACTGGTGAGAGAATGTCGTCTTACCATGGGCCTTCTTGTGTGACAACTGTCCACAGCTCACAGGCACAGGAGACCTGCTCTTCAGCCAGGCTGGGCATTGTGGCTGCAGACGCAGCAGTCCACCCCCTAAGGATGGCAAGTCTCTGGTCCTGAGACTACGGGGCAGTCTTGGGAGATGCCAGCCTTGAGTGCTGAGCAGCCTTTTCCCACAAACCTGGAAGATTCCGGAAGAGATGGCAGGGCGATGGGACACTCTGAGCCTGAGACAACCTGAGGGGTCTTTTCTGTTTCACAGATTTCTAAGGGTTGGGAAAGATTCACAGAGAGATTGGTGGAATCTTTGCTGCCCAAGGTGCCTCTAGGACCCTGTCCACAGGAACCTTAGGGGTTCAAGTGACAAGAGCTACATGGTCTTCCTGAGTCTCCTCGAGTGACAAGTTCCCTGGTCACTTGTTGACCTTGCTGGACCCTGACCTTCAGGGAGGCACCTGTTGGTTTGCAGGTCTGGGACTTCAGGCTCAGAAACCCCATCTGTGTGTGCAAAAAAGAGCAGGAGGGAAATTATCAGGATGGATGTGGGAGATGGCCATAGATACAGGGTGGAAGGCCCAGAGAGGACAATGGAGTCAGGCTTATGTCTTTGCCCTTCCACAGACCAGCTGGGTGACCTTGGGCAATTCACTTAAATGGTATGAGTCTCCATTTTTTTTTTTTAATCTCTCACATGAATATATTGGACCAAGATGTCTCCTAAGACTGTTTCCAGCCTGAATGTTCTACAAACAGGAAATAACTAACCTTTGACCTTTCTCAGTTTTGAGATTCCAATGGATTTAACTTTGCATAGATTGAGTGAATCTACTCCCAATCCAGCCTGGGAGGGTTTCCATGGCAACTGTTGCCTGGCAAAGAGAGAAGAGTCAGGATGTCCAGAGGCATTGAGCTGAGCAGTGTCCAGCACCCCCAGGTGGCTTGAATTAAGCTCCAAGGCTAGAAGGTTGTCAGGACGATTGTTTAAGATTGGGATTGATGTTGGGCAGGGATGTTTGGTCCGGTGCCCGGGAGGAAAGAGGTCCAAGATGCCAGATGAGCACTGTGACATCTGCTTGTCCAACGAAAGGACCTTTTCTTAGTTAAAGAAAAAAAATTCTTGAAACTCAGTGTGGAGGGCAGTCTGCCTGCCAAAGAAAAGACGTTTATTATTCATTGCATAGAGAGAGACTGCTAAGACATTTTCTTCTTAAAGTCTTTTAAAAAAAATGGGCAGCCTTTTAAAAAAGTGTAAGTGGCACTGGGTAAAGTTACCTTGTGCTACCGCACCATTGTTCACCTACAGAACTCTTGTCTTGCTAAACTTCAACTCTGAGTGCATTAAACAGTTATTCCCCAGCCTCCTTCTTGGCCCCCATCTCTATGAATTTGACTGCTTCAGGTCCCTCATATAAGTGGAATGACATTAGTATTTGTCTTTTGTGACTGGTTTATTTCACTTAGCAGAATGTGTTCAGGGCTCATCCATGTTGTAGCATGTGTCAGAATTTCCTTCTTTTTTAAGAATGAGTGATGTTCCAGTTTTTGTATGGAACATCCATTGATGTTCATTTTGTTCATCCATTGATGAGGCACTTGGATTGTTTCCTCCTTTTGCCTTTCCTGAACAATGCTGCTATGGATATGGATGTATTAATCCTATAACTTTAATTTTGATCCGTTTTAAACTTATAGGAAGATTGTAAGAATACTGGACTTGGGGAATGGCTCAAGTGGTAGAACACCTGCCTTGCAAGTGCAAGGCCCTAAGTTCAACTCTCAGTACCATAAATAAATAAATAGGTAAATGAATAAAAATTATAAGAATGCTAAGTAAAGTTCTCAGGGACTTTATTCCTAGATTCATTGGTTTATATTTTTACTATATACACACTTTGTCATTCTCAGTAGGTCTCTGTCTCTGTCTCTCTCTCTTTCTCTACACACACACACACACACACACACACACACACACACACACACGGTATTATCTTGTTCTTATTTCTTTCCAGATGATCTGGTTTCAGAGTATTAAATGTCACGTCTCCACCTCTGTTTTGTCTGTCCCTAGGGGTGAACTCCTTCCTTGTGTACATGGCTTTCAAAGATCGCTTCCAGCTGACGGATTCCCAGGTAAGAGAGCTGGCTCCAGTGTAGGCTCAGTGACGTTGGGTACATTTAATTCCTCTGCTCTGTGGGAAAGCCATCTTTGGTGCTGCACCTCCCTTAGCTCACAGGCATGGCTGGTAATTCTGTTACTGATGGAATTTAGCCTTAGGGGAGAGTGTGAGTCCAGTAACCTAACCCTCAGGGCTGGAGCTCCCCCAGAATCTGCATCTGAGCCTTGAAATGGCCAACCTGGCACAACATGGCCAAGAAGGGCACTCAGAGTCCTTCCCTTAGCACACCTGGTGCAGAAGCAGCCAAGGGTACCATTTCTCATCCCAGAAATGTTGCTGACTGGGAAAGGGTTTCCTGGGGACCCGGAGGGTGCAGATGATTCTCTGATCCCACCCTTTTCTCTCTCAGATATATGAAGTACTGAGTGTGATCCGGGATATTGGTGCCATAGCCCAAGTCCACGCGGAAAATGGCGACATCATTGCAGAGGTATGGGGCTTTCCAGGTACCATTTCTTTATTCCCTGGAGGGCTAAGGAAAATGTGGTGGCTCCAGGAGCTGAACCGTGTAATGAGAAGAAAGGAGCCTGGCACCCCCATGCTGGGCTCTGCCAGCATCTCTGCTGCTGTCACCCCATGTGCTCAGGGTTTTGCAGGATGTAAGCCTGTCCCAGCTCCTGAGAGGCCATTCCTTGGCACTGCAGTGCATCTGCCTCAGTGGGCTGAGCGTCCTACACTGACCCCCTGGCTGGGGGTGCCTCAGCTTTCTGTGGTTTGCTCTGGCTGACGTTGATCCATCCTGCTCAGGCAGGACTGGGAGCAGAACATAGACCCCTTTTCTTTGTGAGGTCTTGGAATCAGGGCCAATGGCCAGCAGTGCTCTCTACTTCCTGCTTGGGAAACCTTGTGTCCAGGTCTCCAGCTATCAGAGCCGTCTGGAGCCCAGCTCCTCCTGACCACCTGGCTTTCTCTCCCATTTCAGGAACAGCAGAGGATCCTGGATCTGGGCATCACAGGCCCCGAAGGACACGTGTTAAGCCGGCCTGAGGAGGTGAGCATCAGGAGATGGGATGTGTGACTTGGTGTCCTGTGGGTGCCGTGTGGAGCATGCAGACACTGCTTTGTGCCTGTTGAGAATGGGATTTCAGGCTGCAGACTGGTCTCTCTGAGAAGCCTGGTCTGTCTCTCTCTCTTTCTCTGTGTAGTGTTGGACTGAGCCCTCGGGTAGAGCAGTGTGGCTGGCTTATTGAGCCTGAGGGCTCCTCTGTATCTCTGATTCTTGGAGCCCTTTCCTAGGTAGGCACAAGAAGTTCTTGCTTAGTATCCTGCACTCTCAGTGTTAGTGGCCCATAATTTATGTCCTTGTCACCAAAACATGGAAAAGGAATCAGAAAGCTCTATTACTACACTTCTGGTGGGGGAGTGGCAAGTTTTTCCATGGTAAGCCTGCACAGGGTGTTGCATAGCTAGCAGAGTTTGGTGGACAGAATCTTTTAAAATCACAGGAGGAGGATCCAGTGCAGGGGTCTGGTTGGCATGGAAGCTGAGTGTCCCAGTCACCCACCCAGCCCCTTCATGGTGAGGTGCCTGAGTCAGATGCGTGGGTCTCACGGATTAGAGGATAAGAGAATCTTTTTCTACCACTAGAGTTTGTAGCCTTTCAGTACTTTTCAGAACTTGGCTCCTTAGTGAAAGGCTCAAGGTCAGGCTGTGGGAGACCTGACCAAGGAGGAGTCTGGTGGCTCTGAGCACAGAGAACACTGGGGAGACTGTCATTTGTCCTCTCCTTTACTGGAAGGAAGTGGCAGAGAAGGGGAGGGTGCAGAGGAGGGGAGAGCAAATCACCAAGGCCCTGGAGGAGTGGAGGCTCACCAGTGGGATTTTTCTTCCAGAAACAGGTGGAGGGGGATGCTGGAGAAAAGGGCTGTGAAAGGGCCAGGGCCACCAAGTCACAGCTCTACAGCTGGCTGAAGAGCAAACCATGAAAGCAGGAAGCAAGCCTGCGTGGTTATGGGAATAGAGTACAAGGAGGCATCACTCTGGTTGTTCCTATGACCAGAAACCTTAAAGCCCTTTGTAGAGGGTTCCGCACAGGATGCTTTTCTTTAGCAGTTGTCATACTGAGAATTACAGGGTCCCAAGCAGCTAATTACAAAGGCTGTGGGTGCTAGCAGGTCTGGGAACACCTCTGGTGTTCTTCAGAGAATTCAGAGGCACCAGCTCTATGCCAGGCACTGAATGTGGTACTTCCCATGGGTTCTTGCCCTGTGACAGCCCCATGAGGTGAGATGGGCTGCCAGGAACCTTTAGCGTGCAGAGTGGAATTAGAACTCCAGCTCCCAGGCTTCAGCTGTGCCTTCTCCCATGGCTCCTGGTGACTGATTTCCCAGTTTGCCAAGAGGAATCTGTTGTGTGTTAAACCCTCAGAGGGCGATAAAGAGAATAAAATATGGAACCACTCCAAGTGGACTTGATTACTGTCCAGCCAGGGAGAAACCACCAATACACAGGAAACAGTGGCTAATGACAGATGCAATTTAACTTCCATATGCCTTCGAGATCTTTCCGTCGGGAACATCATGATGGTTACCTTGTATTTGAACTTGCCAAGACTTCTTCCTGCCACTATATTCTTTTCTTCCCAGCCCACTATGTGAGACCACCTGGTAGGATTTTCCCTGATTTTAGCTGAGAAGATGGAAAAGGAGGTGATGAGGAATTCTAGAAATGACCTGTTTGTGATGGATGAGTGGCAATTGAACGTGTGTTCTCAGCTGGCAGAGCCAGGCCCTGTGGGGACAGTGAGATGAGAGGGAAATGGTGTTTTGTGAGGGACTCAGGACAAGCCAGGGGCAAAGAGGCAGAGAGGAAGTAGTGATGGGTAAGGTGGGAAGTGGTGGGTTCCAGACAGGAAGCAGCTGAAGGAGCGTGGGATCCAAGAGGAGAGGGGGACTTCCCAGCAGGCCTTACAGAATGGTGTGGCTGGGGTGTGCAGAGGGCAGGTGGAGTACTCACCTGTGTGCCCCTGGTTAGGTCATCTTCCTCCCTGGGTCCTGTGTTGTCTTAACTTTAAAATCAGAAAATGGTACTAGAGACCCAGATAGAGGCAAAGAAGCTTTATTTTAAACTGTTTCCCCAGTATTTTAAAGAGGGATTCTGTAAAACTGTGTGCTGTGTATCAAAGGTGTACACATAATAGCAGGAGGGGAAAGAGTTCTGGGTGGAACATGGAGACTTGAGGTTTCAACATCTTCCTTTTTAATGAAGCTCACATTTTAGTTTGGCCTCTGCCCAGTTCTCAGTCTCTTGGTGATGGGGTAGGGGCGGGGTCTCAGCTCTCACAGTGGATACACAAATCCAGACAGACCCCTGGGGTCCAGATTCTTCTCAGCATATCCTAGTAGAAGCCAGCCCAGCCCCCACCTCCTATAATCAGAACCACTGCACACCCCTCTGCTCAGGTCAGTCCCAGGCTGTGCCTGTTGCTTTTATAGGGTTATTAATGACGCCTCTTTCACTTTTCAAAGTGTCTGTGTTGGGACATTCAGCCGGGTCATTCTTGGCATCCCCGGGAAGTGAGCCCTTTTCGCACTTCACACTGGGCACTTATGAGCCGGCTGCCGAGCAGGAGGCCATGGACAGGGAGGGCCCTCTAGCTATCCCAGGAATTAAAAACATTTGGGTGTTTGCTTTGTCTGTGGCTCTCCAAACATCTCTCTTCACATGGTTGATGCTCAAAGGCCAAGTGTGAATGAAGCTGTCTTAATTTCTGCCACTTAGCTGACCAGTTAGGGCAGCACAGACTTACACCCAGTCTAGTTCTTAGTTAGCTAAGTGTTCAGCCAGGAGTTCAGTTATTTAGTCTGAAAAGTAACAGCCTGGATTTAAGTACCATTCTTGAGGGTTTTCACTTTTATGTGGGCCAACTTTGAACCATGACCGTCCTACCTAGCTGGGACCACAGGTGCTCACCACCACATGTGGGGGTCTCACTAATTGTCTGGGCTGCCTTTGAACTGAAATCCTTCTATATCTGCCTCAGTAGCTGGGACTGTAGGTGTGAACCACTGTCCCCGGCTGCCAGTGGGTTTTGAAGATCTGCTGTGCCACAGTTTCACCCGCCATTATAAACACACATTGCTAATTCCTCTGTAAGATATTAACTCCATCTGGGGAGTCATCCCTGGTCGTGTAGTCAGCAGTCAGCATCGGGATCTTTGAAAGCTGTTCACTGAGGCACCAGATGCCAAAGGTCGTACCAGGCTGTGGCTGACCAGCCACATTCAGTAAGTCTCACACATAGGGCCCTTGGTGTATACAGATGGCTGCTTGCCTGATTCTCTGGTTCTGAGAGGCTGTTTTGTTTTGTGGATGTTGCTGACTTGGGGTGTGAGCATCTGACAGAACTCTAGAGCTCGAAGTCACATCCTTGTGTGTCTTCACTCAAGACCATGGAAGCAGAATGAAGGCACTGAATGGAGATTCCCCAATATCTGGGTGGGGTGGTTCTCAAATGTTAGCAAGCATAACAGTCATGTTCTTACTAGTCCTGAGTCTGGGGTGGGACCTGGGAACATGCATTTCTTACAGCCCCAGGCTGATGCTGATGTCGCTGGCTGGGTGACCACACTTTGAGAAGGGTCAGGAAGAGATTACTCCATCATTGCTCTACCCATTCCCCATGGTGAATCCCATTTGGCTTTGTCTTTGGGGGGAGGATAAAGATGGACTGTGTGTGGGGAAGGCGTGTTCTCACGCTCAGGTGCCCTCTGTAGGTCGAGGCCGAAGCTGTGAACCGTTCCATCACCATCGCCAACCAGACTAACTGCCCCCTGTACGTCACCAAGGTGATGAGCAAGAGTGCAGCTGAAGTCATCGCCCAGGCACGGAAGAAGGGTGAGTGTTGCACTGTGGGACCGTGGGCAGGTGGGAGGGAGGAGGGTGCAAGGGCTGCACACCAGGGAGGACTCCTTTTCCAGCCTTTGGGCCAAGTGGGCCACTTTCATCCCATTCCGGCATTAACCTAATTACAGCCCAGCAGGGCAGGGAGCTCCAGTTTCCTCCCTTTGTTCCATGGCTACAGCCTTGTGGTTATCTATTTAAAACCAAGGCTGGGTGGGCAGGCATTCCCCTCACCCTGCCCCCACAGAAAAGTTGGATTTAATTTGATGCAGTCTAAATAAATTAGGCACATACACAGGTGACGTCACTTTCTACTGGCTACACGGAGCCCTTCTGGGGAACGTTATTTTGCAAAATTGTCTCCTGTCTGGATGGTGGTGATTTCCCCGGGGTGAGTCCGAGAATCCAGTGTAGGGCCAGATGTGTTTTGCCCAGATGTGACCATGTCAGGTTTTGGTGCTCTGGTTCCTCCCCATCAATGAACTGTGGCTGTGTTCCCAGCAAGGCTGCCCTGTTGTTACAGCTTTTCCCCTTGGGGTCGTTCTGTGCCGCTCCTTATACATTATTCATGCAGCAGAGCCCTATTGTCACCTGCCGCCCACTGTATGCTAATCACACTGCACAGTTGATGCTTGGGTGTTGGCACCTTGTACAGAAAGCCTGAGATGGCTTTCTGGCTCTGATGGTGGGCCTTCCCCTGGGACTCCTTCTCCCTGACTTTTTCTCATTGTCTCCCCACCCCTTCATCTCTGTGTCTCCATTGTCCTTCTTTTCTCTCCTGAGTTCTAGTTTTCTCTTCACAAAGTCTTATTTTTCTCAGTCTCTTTCTTTGTCTCTCAGTGTATTTGTCAGTAAGGGAGCAATTTGGCTCCATTTCTTCTTCCCGGGATGTGAAACACATGGATCAAGGCCACTGGTGGGTGACCCAGCACAAGCTCCAGAACAAATTGCCTAATGACCATGGAGTCAGATTGTCCTGAGAGGTGATGGCTTCCAGACAGATCCCAGCAATTCCTGGCCCAGGCTCTTTGGATGTGCTCTCTGGAGTCTAATGCTTTGCACCTGACCATTGCTGCACTATATATTCTTGGGAAGCTTCCCTCTACTGGCAGCTTGAAAGCACTGCCTTTTTTTTTTTTTTTTTTTTTTGGTGGTACTGGGGCTTGAACTTAGGGCCTACACCTTGAGCCGCTCCACCAGCCCTTTTTTGTGATGGGTTCTTTTCAAGATATGGGTCTCATGAACTATTTGCCCAGGCTGGCTGTGAACCACTTAGGAGCTACTGTCTCCTGAGTAGGTATGATTACAGGCATGAGCCCCGGCAGCTGGCTGGCATTGCCTTTTTGAAGTAAGAAAGGCGTCACCTAAAATAATGTATGTAATCTCAGAATCTACTTTGTCTTGTTTTTCGAAGAGACTTTGTGGATGGTGACCACATCTGTGTCCCTTTACTACAATTTGTAAGATGGCTGGGCACATGGTGTGGGGGGGAAAGTAGGGGACAGCTTATTTTGTGTATTTTACCAGTCAGTCTGGATCTGAACGATAATAATGAATGAGTCAGGTGAACACTTTAACATGGTTTTGGATTGAGGCTTTGCTGCCCATGTGTGCCCAAATCCACACATGCACCTGTCCCCATTGGAGGATGGAAGGCTCCTGCCTGTCACCAGACCACAGTTGGGGAGGTGGAGTTACCAGCCAGTTCCCCAAGTAGTTCTGAAGCCTCTTCTGGTGTCTTGGCTTTCTCATTGAAGTGTGGGGCTGGAGGGGGTTAGCTAGAGTCCAGTTGGACTCCAGCTTGGGGCCAGAGCTTCTCTGTTGCCCTTAGAATTTTGGTACTTTGTGTGTCTTGGGGGTGAGCACCAGAGGGAAATATTTCAGTATGTTCTGTTCCAGAACTTTCCAGGTGTGAGTCCAGCTGTGCCCACACAGTGGTTCCCATGTTGGCTTTTGCATTCAAACTGTTAACTTTTAGTTCTTGAAAGCCTTAGTGTTAGACCTGAGCTGCTGGAAAGGAATTCCAGTGCATTTGGCTGCCAACAAGCAAGAGCAAGAAAGCCTAGCCGTTGGCTGGGAAGGCTCTTCCATCTTGGAACATCCTTACAACTTGGAGAGGCAGCCCAGACAAGAACTGACATATTTTGTTTTTCTGTAAAGCTGAGTTAGGGAAGAATGGAACTGGGACTTGGTTATTGGGCCCCAGCTTCAGGCCCTAGGCCTCCATGTTAACATTTGACAGAGTCACCTTCACACTTTGAGGTTATTTTGGTGTAGGAAATGCTTGTGATCTGTATGTGTTGAGGCTTAGTTTCTCACCTAACCTGGTAGAAACTGGAGCCTGAACCTCCAGCAGAGACCTGGGTGATATGAAGCAAGGATTCCCAAATGACCAGGAAGGAAATGGTTGAGGTTGTACTAGGGTTTGTTCCCTGTGATCAGTTAACTGTCCTAGATCAAATTTGTCTCCACAGTGCTTTAGCTACATGATGTGAGTTGCTAACTGCTGCTAGTCTCAGTTTCTTGTCTGCGAGGGGAAGATAGTAACCGTGACTCTGGAGTGATGATGTTTAAATGAGATAATGCACATAAAGACATATGCAGTAATATTACCAGTTATCCTCGTGACTGGAGAGTGAAGGGCTGGTTTGACCTGGAGCTCATTAGACAAACAAAGCAAAGACACCTGCTGACCTAGGGCAATGGTTTCCAGCCAAGGATTGCTTTTCCACTTTGGGTGTGTTCTTTTAACCCCCAGAGGCAAATGTGGACCACTGCCATCTTCCTTCCACCCCCATTTCTCCACCTATGAAATGAAGAGTTTTCACTCCTTCCATTGTCTTTTCCTATGCGACACTTCAGGCCTAGGTACCAGGAACAAGAAATGGTCTTGTCCCTCAGTTAATGACTACACTAGCAGGGAAGGGATGTGTGAGCAGAAAGGTACAAGGGGAAAGGGTCAGAGCCAAGCAGGACTAGAGCACAGGAGAGAGGGGTCAGGCTTCAGGAGGGGACCCAAAGTTCTCTACCCGTGACAGATTCTTCTCTCAGCCCATGTCCTCCCCACCCACAGATCTGCTGGTCCTGTGTCTAGGATAGGAGATGTCAGGTAAGTGGGGATGTGAGATGAAACTGAGAAAGTGGGTGGAGTGAGCTTTTTTCTCTCGCTCCCTTGTTGCAGCGAGCTTTCTTTTGCTCCTGAGTATTACCAAACCTAACTGGGGCTAACTGTGAGCGACTGGAGATACAGCAGGGACACAGGATAGACAGAGAGAAAGTGGGATCAGGTGTGTTGGGTGCTCAGGTGGCAACACACAACCCTCATTGCTTCTTTTCTCTTCACTTACTCTGCTTCCTCTATCTTTATTCTTTAAGGCCTTACTCCTTTGCAGTTGTTTAAAACTAAACTAAAGTCTTTCCTTAAAACCGTGCTTTTAAAGTCTTCTTTTCTGTTCTTTAAACTCTTTCCTTAGACTTGCTCTGTCCCATGTTTTCTGTTAGTTTTCTTTAGTTAGCTTTTCTAAAGCCTATGTTTGAAATTCTCAGTGCAGACTTTCTATCAACCCCCTTTAGCAATTCCCTTTTAGCAATTCTTTTTCCCTTCAGCAGTCTTTTCCCTTCAGCAATTCTTTTCCCTTCCAAAAGCCTCCCACACCAAAAGCCTCCCTTCATCCAAAAGCCAAAAGCTCCCTTCACCCAAAAAGCAAAAAGCCTAGCATCCTCCGTCAGTAAGCCTTTTATACCCAGTGGTAAGCAGGGTGGAGCAGTGGTTCTCTGGGAGGGGCGTGACATTGTAACAGGAGAAACCTGCATTCCTGCTTCACTGAATGTAAACAACTTAGGAGAAGCAGCTGTTCTGAATATTCCTCTTCTGTGACCGGGGCTATGCCAATCTTGGCCTACAGATTAGGAAAAGCTGTTGAGCTTCATCTCACCTTCTTATGTCCAGTTCTTGTAGGCTTCTCATAGTCTGCTCTCCACAAGCTGGACCTAGCACGATGGTACCTGTCTTTCCTGAGAGACCTGCTGCCTCTATCGTACTGGGCTGTGCAGTGGAATGGCACCTTACTAGCCTTGTTTTGAAGATAGGGAAATGAAACAGTTAGGACTGGGATGTGTTGGACAGTATTTACTCTTGAGAAGAACTTAGAGATTGGCCGATTTAGTAGGTGCATTTCATGGAAGAGAAACTGAAGTGCAGAAATAGAAGATCTTCTTCCATATTACTCAGCTTGTCGGGGGTAGAAATCATGATTCCAGACTCCTGGCCATCTCTGCCCACTGAGGGCCCAGGGTGAAGATTTCTCCCTGACCATGGCTTCACTCAGACTGCATTTTGGCCATGTGGAAAGTCTAGCTGATGCCTTCCATATGGGGATGGTAGTCCACGGATAATGCCTGGTGACCTCATCTCATGGACATTCCTCACCACCCTCTTCCTCACCCCAGCCCTAGAACCCAGAGAAAGAACATCCAAACACTGTCACTTCTAATCTGCACTGAACCACAGGAATCTGAATCCAAGATAAGACTTCTTCCTCACAGGCATTCAGAGTGCTTGGGCATCATTTGAAGCAGATAGTCACATGGTCATGGGGCCCACAAGGGTCACTGAACTTGGGGATGAACCCTGATGTTAAGCTAATGCACTTCATAGCAGTCTTGACCTAGAACGGGGATTGAGAATGCCAGGTGGATTGGGTTGTGAATGTCATAAAACCACATCAGAATCTGTACTAGAGATTACAGGCAGTGGGAGGAAGGGGAGGCGGGAGGGAAACAAATGGACAGAGATTTATTTTAAGGAATTGGCTCATGCAGTTCTGAGCTGACAAGTATGAAATCTGCAGGGAAGGCCAGCAGGCTTGCAACCCAGGGGAGAGGGGATGGTGTCATTTGCGTCCGAAGGCTGTCTGGAGGTAGAAGCCCTCTTGTCAGTGCCCTCACTTGAACAGCACATAATACCCTGTGAGGTTGGGAATCCAGTTTGCATTATAACTTGGCCTCCTGTGGGATGAGATCCTGGATTTGATTTTCAGCCAGCTCAGTTCTGCATCTCTAAGACATAAGGGTCTTTTTCAGAGCAGCCATGGAAAACTTTGAGTCACTTTTGGGGTTGGTGCTTGACCTGGGAATTTGAATCCCTGAATTCATTCTTTTCTTTCCCCACACCATCAGGAGCAGCTAACCAATCTCACTGTGCTCATTAATTTGACAAAAAAGTGTCTGCAGCATCAAATACACATCCCCCGGAACCTTGCCTCTTTCAAAGCATTTGACTGGGAGCATCCAGTTGTGATGCTTTTGTGCGTTCCTATTTCCCCCTACGTTGTGCACCCTAGGGTGCTGCAAATAGAATCACTAGTGCCTTTAAATGATATTGTAGTGATCCAATTCCAGAAACCTCAGAGCCAATTCACAAAATTCATCCTGAAGATTTTGTTTCTTCTTGGGTGTGATGGTACACTGCTATAATTCTAACACTTGGGAGGCAGAAGCAGGAGGATCACAAGTTCAAGGCCAACCTGGACTACACAGTAAGACCCCAACTCAAAAAAAAAAAAAAAAAAAAAAGGATTTTGTTTTTCTAGAATTATTCCTGGCACCAAAATCTGATGGCACGATGTTGAGGCTTTGGCGTGGCTTCTGTGAAAGAGAGGGAGTAGCATGTGTTTGTGTGTCCATCCGTCCACCCCAGTTGGTTTTCTCTATGTTTGTGGCTGTACTTTGAACTACATATACATGATTTTCCATTGTTCTTCCTTTGGATTTGTTCTCCTGCTTCTTGTTTATGGGAAATGACTAAACTGTCAGAGCCAGGAGCTGTCAAACCTTTCTAAAGCCCAGCCTTGCATTTATTCTTCATGAGTGCACTCGGGTCCCAGACTGCTTGTGAATAAACATTTTCTTGAGTCCCTTGCATTCCGTACTTCACTAGCGAGCCAGGGTCACATCCTTCAGTTCAGACTTTCCCTGTAAGAAGTAAACCATGACGTTCCACCAGCTGCCAGGAAAGCGTCAGCACTGTGTTTGGAGAGGTGCAGAAAGGCCAATTAAGCCATTCTGTAGTTTATTATTATTAGTGGTAATTATTTCTGGCATGCTGTTCACTGGTGTCTGTGGCCTCACTGAGCCCCGGCAGCCCATCATGGCTTATAGGATGGGGGGAGGAGCCCCCGGCAAGTGCCAGGGCACTGGTGATGGGGTTCAGAGCCCCAGTGTGCAGACCTCCTCTGCCTGGACATGATGGTTAACTCTTGCCTGCTTTTGGGGGTTGAAGAGCAGAGATACAATCAAAAGATAGCAAATTCCCTCAGAGAATTTGAACAGAGCAAAGCAGAAATGAACCACAACCATCTTTCTTCTTCTCCTGGTGTGCATCTTGCCTATCTTTGCTTCCCTCTTTCCCCCACCTTGGCTTGGCCTGGGTTCAGGAGTCCTTACCCAGCCTTGGTTTAAGGAGGCAGGTTCTGATCACCAGTGACCTTGGAAACTCTGACCCAGTTCTGGATTTTCCCGAGGCTGAAGGCCAAGTTTGTTCTCTTGTGAGGTGCTTGTTTCTGTGCACAGTGGGAGGGGGTCCAGTCCCTTATCCAGCAAACCCCTCACCCTAGTCTGAGCTGTGTTTTGCAAGGAGAGGTGAAGCCCACCCATCCATTCCCAGCAGCAGCCCCTCCTCCTGTTCAGGTTTGCAAAGGCAGGACTGAGGTGAGAGGACAAATGATGACAAGTTCCAGGGAACTCTGAGAAATGTGGATGCTTGCCCAAGGATTTTCAGACTGTCAAGCTGTTTTTTCCTCCAACTGTCTTTGCTCTTGTAAGGTTTTTCATGATGACAAAACCAGGAAACCTTAGGGCTGTGGAACCTTTGTTTTTCTCAGACTTGTACAGACCTCACCTTTGTGCTCAGACAGGCAGTGGCCAGCAGGACCTCCAGACCTGACTGGCTCAGGAGTTAGTCTTCACCAGTTCTGGGAGAACCATGGTGGCTGCTGGGCCCTGCTTAGCCATTTGCATCTCATAAAAGCCTTGCCAGCAACAAGGCTGTGCTCATTATGTGCTTTTCTGCTCTGAGTGTGTGTGTTGGAGGGGAGCTGAGGTGCTGGTGCAGCTACCCAGCAGGCTTCTCACACCAGCTTCTCTTGGAGAGGATTTGAACACCAGGGTCCCTTCCAGGCATTCTGAGTGTTGGCACTTTCTTCCTTCTGGGCAGGCATCCTCTGGCTTCTGGAGCCCTCCCTCCTGCTTAGGAATTGTTCCTGATTGCCTGGAGTGAGGCATTGCTGTGTCCTCCAACCCTCCCTGTCTGAACAGCCACTCCTTTGTGAAATTCCTGAGGCAGGAGGGGGCAGCTCAGTGGAGCCAGCTGTCAGAGTGGCCAGGCAAAGAGGGTGTTGTGGAATATTATCAAGTGATAAGCCTTCAAAAAGACTGTGGAGAGGAAGGGAGACACATTCCTGACTGAGCTGGCTTTGGCCTTGAGGACCCTGTGTTTGGAGGAAAGAGGAGCTGGGTGATGAGGAGGGGGTTGCCCTGTGGCCGAGGGAGGAGATGAGGTGAATTTAATGACCTGAGGTCAAATTCAAGCTCTGATGCCTTTAATTAATAAAGTATTAGGCCAATTAATCAACTCATCATGCATTTATTGAGTGTCTACTATGTAGGCAAATAAATTAATCATCTTCAAGGTGCCACCATCAAGTAGGGAGTCAGAAAATTTGAAGCGGGGAGATTCCTGGAGTGGAGAACAGGTTCTCAGACATGTGGCCTGATGCTGGAGCTAGTTCTGCACGGTCCACTTTCACTAGTGGGTGTTTTAGTGAGGAGGGGTTAATCCTTGAAGGCAGAGGGCTCCTTAGCATGATTTTGTGTAAGAGAATGGCATGGGGAAGGTTGTTTCCATGAATGTCAATCTGGAAATGTCTCACAGAATGAATGCAGAGTTGGGGAAGGGGCACATAGCTGTAAGGTCCCCTTGAGATGCCCTGTTAAAGTGAGTTGGGGAAGCAATGAGGCCTGGCTTAAAGGAAGAAGATATTCAAAGTAGAAAAGCCTTGGCACTTGAAGTGTATAAATGGTTCCAACTTTCTGGCTTACTCTGAATGCTCAGAGAAGAGGATGTGATTGAGTAACAGGGAGCAAACATTATTCTTGGACATTGTATTTAGTTAGGGTAGGCTTCCAGAAACTCTGAAATCTGGCTAGCATAACTGTACCCTTCACATGGCAACTCAGATCCAGATTCTTTCTTGGGCAGATCTGGATGGCTCTGTTTTTTCTTGTATGTTTCAGCCCAGTGGGGTCACCTGTGAGTTCCTTTCATAGCCTTTTGGCCAGAACTAAACCTGGTGAGGGGGCTGGTAAGTGTGAGCAGAGAGCATTTGCTGACCAATAAGGTTTTAAGTCCATAGATCATTCAAAAAGAAGAGTCTAGATGGTTCTCGGGACTGGGTTCTTGGAAGCCATTTGAGCCAGACATTGCTACCAGGGCTGGCCATCAGCAACACATAAGGTGGACACCTGCAGGGTGTTTTCTGTCACCTTGGGACAGAGGGTTGAGCCTGAAGAGCAGGGCCACAAGGGATCTTTGGGAGCACATGCCTGGAGGTGGCTTTGGCTCGCTGAGGTAGTTGCCCCCGATCCCCACCAAGTGTCACTGTCTTCACCTGTGGGACAAGGCCTGTCCTTAAAGGGGATGGAGTGCCAGGGAGGTAGTGACACCCAAGAAGGGTGTCCTCCTTCCTTGGGTCAGATTGAATCTTGTGTGTTCTGGTCATCAGGAACTGTGGTGTATGGCGAGCCCATCACTGCCAGCTTGGGGACTGACGGCTCCCACTACTGGAGCAAGAACTGGGCCAAGGCTGCTGCCTTTGTCACCTCCCCACCCCTGAGTCCTGATCCAACCACTCCAGACTTTCTCAACTCCTTGCTGTCCTGGTGAGTCCTGGTGACTTGTCACACTGCATTATCAGTTTCCTTAGACAAAGCTGGTAAGGGACAACATGGTGGCCAAGAGCAGGTGTGAAAATAGTGCCTCATTCACCAAACTTGTATCACTAAATGAGAAGAAGGAAGTAATGTCACCATCCTGGGAGGGAGTTCCTGATAGAAACCTGAGAGATCATGACAGTCAGCCGCAGGAACTGAATGAGATAGCAGAAGGATCTCAGCATGGTTGGTGTGAGGTCACCCACAGAATACCTCACAAAACAGATTGAGGTACACATAATGTTGTAACCAAGCTTCCTGCTGTGTGTTTCTTTCCAGTGGAGACCTCCAGGTCACTGGCAGTGCCCATTGTACCTTCAACACTGCCCAGAAAGCTGTGGGAAAGGACAACTTCACCCTGATCCCTGAGGGCACCAATGGCACAGAGGAGCGGATGTCCGTCATCTGGGATAAGGCTGTGGTAAGGAGCAATGTCCTTGCTCGTGGGTGGCCTCGGTGTTCCCGTGCCTCCTCAATTGTGGGTGTAGGGCTTGTGTTTGGCCTTGAAATAGTTAAGAACATTCTAGAAGCCAGGGCTTATGAGACAATGTTGCTTAGGTTTGGAAATCTTAGAATACTCCTAATAGGCGATTTTCTCCTAAATATTACATTTCTTAAGATTATCATCTATGGAGCAGTAGAGACTGAAAACATACTTTAGCTAGGACTCATGTGTCAGCTGGGAACAAGTTTCGCGACTTCCCAGTTAGCTCTACTCTACTCCTGGATGTTTTCTGTGGGTGTCTTTGAGGGGGTCTCTGGATTTAGCATTTATACTCAACACAGGCTTCTGATAGCCTTTAGGGGAATCCTTGGGCTTTTTCATTTTAATGTTTCAAAACATAACAACAGGCTTTCCTTTTCCTAGTGAATTTTTTAGATGATGTAAATAAGAATCACCTTGTTTCAGATATAACGCCAGTGGACATTCTGGCGAATGTCTTTCCATTTTTTGCTAGTGCACAAGTGCACCTGTGTGCGTGGTGTGTGTGAGTGAGTCAACATCATTAACATCCTGGTACTGTTTTGTAGCATGTTTTTAAAATACTTAACATATTGTGGAAAAGGCTTCATGCCAAATACACTTGAAAATCTTGGTTTTTTTTAATAGTAGATGACTCCATCCTAATGTTACACAGAATTCATCTGTAATTCTTTGGATGAGCATTTATGTTGTTTCTGACTTTTTAAATTTTACCTGGAAGAGCATTTTAAAGACACATCCCTGGGCACATCCTTAATTATGTCTGTAGGAGAAATTTCTAGAAGTGGCATTGCCAGCCAAATGGTATGTATGTTTTTAAGGCTGCAAATACAATTCTTTTTTATTGGCGGCACTGGGGTTTGAACTCAGGACTTCATGCTTGCTAGGCAGGCACCCTGTCCCTTGAGCCATGCCACCAGCAATATATGACATACAGTGTCTTCTTCCAGTTCCAAATGGGCGTTACCTGTAAAAACCCAAAGTGCTGCTGATGAGATAAGAATTTTGGCTTGTTGTCACTGTGGACTGGAGTGAATATTTTTTTTCATATGCTTATTGATCATTCATATTTTTTTCTCTCTTGTAATGATTTCTTTTACCCCTTGTTCTACGAGTGTAGAGTGGCTTTGAGGAGGGAAGGATTTGAGAAAATCCTATTGTATACTACGGAAAGCCAAATACAGGACTGAGACCTCTAGGGTGACTAGACAGGAAGCCTAGATCTGTGCCTGTACTCTGTTGAAGAGGACATCTAAGTTTTGCGTGTCAAAGTGTGTTCCTTTCTACCTTCAGCTCTCTGACCTGCCCTTGCTGTGTTGGTGTGTGTGCTGTGTGCTGTGCCCCTCAGGTCACTGGGAAAATGGATGAGAACCAGTTTGTGGCTGTGACCAGCACCAACGCGGCCAAAGTCTTCAACCTTTACCCTCGTAAGGGCCGCATCTCAGTGGGATCTGACGCTGATCTGGTCATCTGGGACCCCGACAGTGTGAAGACCATCTCTGCCAAGACACATAACAGCGTAAGGCCTACTCACCAGGCACACAGACCCATGGGGGTGACACAGAAAGAGACCAAGGCAGGGAGATGCCAGGATTTCCAAAACCAATTTGCTGGGAAAAGAATAAAGTTTTCACCAGGATGTGTTATAACTTGCAGTTTGCTGAGAAAAAAATGGCTTTCACTTTCTTTAGTAAGGTCAATATGACTGTTACTCTTACCCATGTTTTAGAGTTCCATGGCCTCTGTCCTTAGACATTCAGAGTCCCCAAAGTGACACCAGCATGTCAGAAGCTTCTAGAAGCCAGGAACCATTCCATTTTCATGGTTTGAGTAGCACCTTTTGTGATGGGGGCTTGGTACAAGGGGCCTAAGAAAGTCAGATGTCCACTTGTGTGACACCCAGGGGGCACTTTTATTTCCATGTATCACTGTTTTCTCATGTTGGTCTTGCTACCAGCGGTCTAGATGACAGCTGCTTTCACTGCCCCAAAGGAACTGATCAGCTTTGGTTTCTCCCAGATAGAAGAAATATCCCAGCCATTTGGTTCCAGTACAGGATCTGCAGGCTTGGGTAGCTCCTGACTCTTTGTCTAGGCCACAGAGCTTGGGGATGCTCTGTCTTGTTAATGTCTTAGGCTCCTCAGCTGAGATCGAGGGGTTCAGCAGGATTTCTGGGTGTCCTGTGGTCATGAGGCCAGTGGGTATGAAGCTCAGGTGTTAGATCTCATCAGCTCCTCACAGACAAAATTGTATATACACAGCATCTAAAGAGTGTGGACCAGGGAAAGATCTAGAAAGGGAGGGCCTTGGGTAGAAGTGTTCATTTTCTTTTATCTATTTTATTGGTGGCATTAGAGTTTGAACCCAAGGCCTCATGGTTGCTAGGCAGGCGCTCTACCACTGAGCCACTCTACCAACCCAAAAGTGTTCTATGTCAGAACCTTACTTGAATCCTGAAGTAGAGGCTTATTAAGTGAAAAGGATGGTCTGGATGAAGTTCCAAGTGGGACTGCCCATCCCACAGGGACCTGGGTCAGCCAGGAGAAATACCACCCAAGTGCAGGGCAGGTTCCTGGCCTCTTCAGCACAGGCCTAGGCCCTGTGCTGGGTTCAAGTCCTCTATCCCTTGGACAGAGAGGCTTGAGTGTAGTACCTTGGGCTTACCTCCAGCTTCTTCAGCATCGATGGGTGCTGGCATGGTAAGCACTTCTTGGGAGGCCGTGCAGCTCTCTATTTATAGCTGTCATTCCCTCCTTCCCTACAGGATGGCTCAGCCAGGGAGCATGGTCTATGGTTACACCCACTTAAACTTAGATCACAGCCTGTTGGGGTCCCAGTGGCTTCCTTAGGGTGAACCTCCCTATTCATATGCATCTAACATCACATTTCCTGTCACTCTTCATTTGGCCATGCTCAGTAAAAGGACTGGTATGATTATCCCAAGTGGGAAGATAAATAAACTGAGGTGAAGAGAGCTTTCAGGGAGCAGTCTAATGTTACATAGCGATTTTGCGGTTGAGCCAGAATTAGAACCCAAAATTCTTCAGAATTCTTCCCATGCCAGACTGTGTATGGATGCAGCCTCTTGGGCTGGGTTGGATGGAGAAAATGTTCCTCCTCCTTTGTGTGGTTCCTTCCCAGAGGTAAATACAAAAGGGAGCCTGGGCTTCTTATTTAAGATGCAGGTAACAGCACTGCAAGTGCTCTGCGTCCCTTCTCTCTCCATCCCTTCTCTCTCCATCCCTTCTGGACAGAGGGAGAACGGGAAAGAGGGAAGGTTTCTGAGAACAGAGGCAGCTATTCAGACATTGCCACCAGACTTTCCAGAGCAGTGACACACTGCCCTGCCTTTCCTCCCGGTGACACTGCATAGGAAATGCTGCCTTTCCAAATGCCTCTTCTGTGCCTCACTTGCTGTAAAGAGCTGACAGGAAGCATGTCTCTGTGGCATTTACCATATGGGACATACAGAGAGGAAGCTCTGCCTGGGTGACGCTTCGATTTGTAGCATCTAGCTGACTGTCATTGACAGCCCTGCTGCAAAGCCTTTGCTTGGATTCTTCTGGCATCACCCACATGACTCATTTTAGGAGCCTGTGTGGCTATAGATTGAAAACGTCCACACCTTTTGAGCAATGCAGCCTCCCTACCTCACAGCTTGACTCAGGTGGGCTGAGTGCCCTGCGCTGGATTTGACCCTGGGACTTGTCAGCTTTTAAGTCACTTAGAGTCATGGGCTGGTTCCTTCTACTTTTAAAAATGGGAGATGGCCCCAGAGCCCTTCTCAGGGCTCCTTCATCAGGGGCTAGACTCAGTAAATGTGTTGTCTGAACACATTTGGACAACAAAGGGTCTGTGAAAATATAGGCAAAGTGCAAGAAAAATATAGACAGCTAATGAGGGTGCCAAAAAGCATGCTTCTGTCCTGTGAAGGTGTCAGTCCTGCAAAGTGGGGTTTATCCCCTTATAGGTGAGGAAACAAGAGGCTGAGAGTATTAAGGACTTGTCAGAGACCACACAGCTGGTGGATGGGAACCCAGGGCAGATGGTCCCACGGCCAACACTGCACACATTTTGCAAGAGGAGGTCACCAGGTGATAGACAGTTAGTCATGGAGTAGCAGGCAAGAGATGAGGTTGAGCCAGGATATAAAGGACGGCTTAACCAAAGACAGGGTCAGCAAAATATAGCCCAGGTCTCACAACTTCTGGATTTGACATGTCTGAGTTGCCATCGATTATAAGATGCTGTCAGTCTATATGCCATGATGAAGGAAAACTCGCAGATGAGCGCTCTCTTTGGAGGCTTCGATAAGAAGTACACAGGCTCCCAAGGGCCAGCCTGGGTTCCTGGATATGGTGACGAGAAATCCCATGAGCTGCGAGCCTGGGAGGGAAGAAGGGCCGTCCTGCGGACCATAACTGGAAGCTGGAACTTGCTTGGGCTGGCGTGAGGTTTGAATTAAGTCTGTAAGGATGGCCTAGAACAACCTAGATCTGAGAATTTAGTACACAGTGGCCTGTGTGGCCGTGTCCCCTAGACAGGGAAGAAGCAGACCAGTTGACCCTTGGGGGAGCCTCAGTCAGGCTGACAGTGACTGCCCAGTCCATCTGTGTCCAGGGATGAGCGTTGGGATCGGAGAAAGACAGGTGTAAGCCTGTGGGCCTCCCCCTGAGCCTTGGGAGGCCACACATAGAGGCTGCTTGCCTCCCCTCAGTGCTTCTCTGCTTTGTTTCATTCCCACGTTACTCCTAGGAGACCCAGAGTGGTGCTGACAGCCCCTGTTGCTGTTGTCACTCAGGTTGTGCCCAGGGTTGCTGCATTTCCACACTGAACGTGACACTGCACATGACAATTTCTCCATGCTTCCTAGCACTGCAGTGAGCAGAGATGGCCTCTGATTGCAGGGCACCAGTGTAGCTCTGTTCACAAGCTCATCCCCCAGTGCTGACACCCTGGCCTGATTTACCCCAAGGCCAGCCTGCTCTGTACAGCTGGTGCTGCCTGTTGACCTCCAATCCTGGGCGCACCAGGATCTGTGCCTGTGAACAATGGAAGGGTAGGTGCTCAGCCCTGGGTGAGCTGGAGCTAGGGAGGCGACTCTGACCCTGGAGACTTTTCATGTGTGAGCCGAAAACCTCTTGTTCTCACTGACAAACACATATACAGAGACCCCACCTGTTTTCCAAGGGGGCACACAGATCTGTCTGTTGCACCTGGAGCACCTTGAAACCTAGAGGACACTGTTGTTTTGGAAGTTGAACCTTAACATCGTATGTCAGGCAGGTCTCTTACACGGCCACCGTCCTTTCATTTAAGGACTGTAGTTGAACTACACACCATTCTCAGTTTGGAAAACCAGGTGAGCCGAGGGGAAAACCTTGAGATGGCTCATGTCAACATTCAGTTTGGAACTTGGTCAGAAGAGGCCTTTTTGGAATTCAACCTGGATGGGGCTTGAATTGGTGGGAACAAGGTCATTGCTAATGTAATAGGAGTTGTTTCTGTTGCATTCACGAAGCATTTGCAAACACTGTCCATGCTTCCGTTCGGTTCAATTGTTTTTCTTCCCTATTTAGAGATTTCAAAAGATGACTCCATGTTCTAGGCAGGGAACATGACCCACAGAGAGTGAGTGCTTCCAGGGTGGCCCGTGAGGACTTAGGCCTAGTCTCTAGTGTCAGGCAGTAGACGATGCCACACTGATTCAGTTCTTCTAAGGGGACGGGGCCTGCCCATGGAGGTGACTGTGTCCCTTCCCTCCAGGCTCTGGAGTACAACATCTTCGAAGGCATGGAATGCCGTGGTTCCCCTCTGGTGGTCATCAGCCAGGGCAAGATCGTCCTGGAGGATGGCACCCTGCATGTCACTGAGGGCTCTGGGCGCTACATCCCCCGGAAGCCCTTCCCCGATTTTGTGTACAAGCGTATCAAGGCAAGGAGCAGGGTAAGTGCTTTTGCTCTGATGATTTTATTTAGCATGGATTAAGTTCAATTACATGAATATCTGTTGAGCACTCTGAGTCAGGACACTGAGATGCGCATTTCCTTGTATTTCTGGACCTGAAAATGCTGGTAAAGAATCACATATGTCCAGAGCCAGCCAGGGCAAAGTGAGACTTCAGTATGTGCTAGGACTGCGGGGTGAGGGCCCAGAGGAAGGAACCACTGCCCTGCAGTCAAAGAGAAAGGTGTCCTGGGAAGGGGGCATTTTGAGCTGAGTTTTGAAGGATAAGTAAGAGATTGCCAAGTCAAAGAAAGGAGACCTAGGTGAAGGAAATGTCACGATCTGGAAAATGCAGTGTATTCAGGGCACCATGAGCAGCCCTTGCTGTACTCGGGGACTGGGAGGCAGAGAAGGGGTGCAGCTGTAAGAGAATTAAAGGGAGAGCGAGGCTGGAAAGAAAGTTTGGGACAGACCTTGAATGTGACTCTCTATCTCCTCAGAGCACGTTTGTGGGAGTCTCACTGGGGTTGAAGCTGAAGTGCCTTGGGGAGAAATTATAAGAGATGTTTGTTCTTGTAGCTAACAGCACCCTCACTCACCTTGTGGGAGCTTTAGCCTGGAGCTGCAGGGACTGCTCCCACATGTGCCCCTACTGTACTTGTCCACAAGGAGAGCCCCGATCCCGTCATCCCCGGCCTGCCCAGGCTGCCACTTCTTGCCATCAGGAGAGGGCTGGCGAGGAGGCATCCTTTCTGAGTGTGGCCTGCGTCGTGGGGCGCTTGTGTGTTGCAGCTGGCAGAGCTGAGAGGGGTCCCTCGTGGCCTGTATGATGGACCTGTGTGCGAGGTGTCTGTGACGCCCAAGACGGTCACTCCAGCCTCCTCGGCCAAGACGTCTCCGGCCAAGCAGCAGGCCCCGCCCGTCCGGAACCTGCACCAGTCTGGATTCAGCTTGTCTGGTAAGGCCAGGGTTGGGTTTGGGCCAACCATGTGGCTGCATTGGAAAGAAAACGAGCATAAGTGGGAGAGAACAATATTCCCATTCTTCCCAAAATAGGAAACACTGTATCACCAGAGACACACAGTCAGTGACAGTGGACTGCAGCATCTTGAAGTGACATACGTAAGATTATGCAAGGCTTTGGTTCCATCTCTGGTGTGATAGCCAATACAGTGTGAGGACACTGATTCAAATGTTTACCTCCATCATAAAAGGATGCTGTGGTATTCGGGACTGAAGTAGGAAGCTTAGCACTGTGTTGTAGGGTTTGGAGTTTCACGTCAGAGCTCATTGTGCTGCATCTGTAGAAGGGAGTTGTAGGGATGCACCTCATTCGGAGAACATCAAGTGAATCACGCTGTGTAAAACACTTCGAACAGAGCCCTTTGATAACTGCCAGCTGTCTGCTTGGGTAGAATATGTGAGGTTCTCTTGGTGACAGGAAAGGGTTTGGATTTTAGTGTTTCCTTCCTGGAAACTTCCTTGTCCTCTTTCACTCCTTCATTTGGTCGGTGATCAGATCCATCTTCCAGCTCCTAATCAGAGCAGGGACCAGCATCCTGTAGCATGTTAAAGACACAGCTGAGCAGAGCAGATGGGTTTTTCTTGTCCTTGTCAGATCTACTGGGTTTTAGAAAGTTATATATGCCATAGGTTGGTGACTCATTTTCCAAAAGTTTTAAAAAGTGAACCTGAGTTTCATGTACATTAAAATGTGTATCATAATACCTATGGCCTCTGACCTCACCAGGCCATTCAAATAGAAGACACAGGTTGAGGATCCCTTATCTGAAATGGTTGGGACCAGAGGGCTCTTGGATTTGGGATTTAAAAAAAAAATTGGAATGTGTGCATATTTATGATGAAATATCTTGGGGATAAGACCCAAGTCTAAACACAAAATTCATTCCAACTTCATATACACCTGACATGCACAGTCAAAGTGATTTCGTACAGTGTTTTTACTGCCCCTGTGTTTGGACTGACACCCCATGAGGTCGGGTATGGGGTCATGTCTGTATGCCCTCTGATCTCACCAGGCTGTTCACACAGAAGGCACAGGTGGAGGCCCCTGATCCTAATGCTTGGACCAGAAGTGTTTTGATCAGTGCTCAGAAAGTTTCAGATTTCAGAACGTTTTGGGTTTTAGATTTTTGGATTAGGGATGGACTGTTGTAACTCCTACTTTTCCTTATGTGTAGGGTTAGAATAGTCACATGCCAGAAACAGGGCTGTGTTCTCAGAAAAGCCACACACAGTTTGACTGACAGGAACAGGGACAGGGTGGAAACAACAGTGTTTTATGGATAGCGGTACTTTCCCAGTAGTGGTTCCAGCTAAGCCCTGTGTGTGATCCTTAGGTCTGTCTCCTTCCCTTACTTTGAACTTGGAATGAGATTTTGAGAAAAGAGCCAAAAATGTGCCTGATCCTTCTCCCAAGCTGGGTTCTCACCGTTTTCCTCTCCTCTCCCCTTTTCTCCAGGCGCTCAGATCGATGACAACATTCCCCGGCGTACCACCCAGCGCATCGTGGCGCCCCCTGGTGGCCGTGCCAACATCACCAGTCTGGGCTAGAGTCCTTGTGCCCACAGGCCACTGGGGGATGGGGGATGGGACAGCTGAGGACATTCTGAGACTTCCTTCTTCCTTCTTATTTTTTTTTTAAATGTTTTTTTAAGAGCCTGTGATAGTTGCTGTAGGCAGCCAGTTCCTGGGGCTCCCTCAGGGGCCCCCCACTCCGTCTGTCCCTTGGAGTTTCTGAATTTGCTCACCCACTTCCCTACACATCCATGAACACCACACCCAAGCCTAGCCACCCACCCCACATGGAGCTGCATCCAACACGCAGACATGCCACACAAGCTTAGTGCCCCATGGCGCCCCCTGCTGGCCTTGCCAGTGCCTTCCTTGTCATGGGGGAAGCCGTGAGTTGCCCAGAGCTGCCTTTTTTTTTCTTTTCTTTTTAAAAAAGTTTTTTTTGGGGGGGGGATCTGGGGAGGGGGTGGGGTAGGGGAGGTTTTTGTTTTAATCCTAAATTGGAAAGTTTGATTCAATGTTAATCCACAGGGGTTGAACTGGACATCCTAATGATGCAATTATGTAACCATCACTCTGATTGGGGGTTGGCAAACTCATTTTGTCCCTCCTGAGAGGCTCCAAAGTGTCCCCATCACCGTGCTTTGGTCTTCTGGGTCAGCTACTGAGAAAGGGCAGGTTTTCTTCTTTGGCCTAGATTTTGAAGTACATTAGCTCTTTTGAGTATTCTTCTCTGTTTTCCCTCCCCTCTTCCTCTCTGGCTTTTCGTTCATGAATATTTTCATGTGCTTCCTCTGGCCCTGGTCTCTGGGTCGGTGTTTTTCTCTCCTCTCCCTCCCTCCTCCCCGCTCCTTGTCTGCCACCATCACAAGTTGTACCTTTGATTGTGGTCAGAACCTGCCCGGGAGGACTCCATCTTTGTCCTCACACCCATAGTCACGTTGTTCTGGTCCCTGTAAGACTGGTGCTACCTGCCCACCATTGTTAGGAGGTGTCTCTGAATTCAAAACTCCTGCCAGGTACAGGGATGGCCTGGATTTTGTCACCCATATTGTCATACACTGGCCCAAAATGGGGCCACACAGTGCAGAGATGTGGAGGAACAGCTGTGGAATGTGAGAATGTCTCCTGTGCAGTGCTGACTGGCAAAGATGATCAAACCTATAAATCCAGCCCAGTAGTCCTTGGGAACCAAGCAACCTCCAGCTGCCCATCCGCAGAGGGCGAAGTCTCTTTTGGGATTCTAGAACATGCTGAGGTGTCTCATTGTGGGAGAAAAAGCCCATATATTTTTCTTGTTCCAGTATTTTAAAAGGTATAATGTGATAGTGGAAGTATTATTCTTGGAAAATTGACTTATCATCCATTTTATTTTGCAAGAGGAAACGGTGTTTTATGAAAAATGTCACATCAGGACTGTGATGGAGAGAGAGCTTTACAAATCAAACTCGTGGCCCCCTTCGAGACCCCAGGTGATCTCATCTTTGCAGCCCTCTCTGCCCCTGTCAGAGTGACACTTTTTCACTAGCTGGCTCCCCTCTGTCCTTGCTGACTGTCACATTTCTTTCCTTGTAACAATGTTAAATCTGTAGGCATTTATGAAACCAAATCTACTTGCCAGACAGCAAAAGTTAGGTCATCACACGTGACACTCGTCTTTCCACACCTTTTGCCTTTGGGGTTATGGGTGGGGGTTTTGGTTTGTTGTTGTTGTTTATTTGTTATTTTTAAAGGTAAATTGCACTTTTAAAAAAATAATTGGTTGACTTAATATATTTGCCTTTTTTGTTTTTTTTCTCACCTGCACTTAAAGGAAATTTGAACAAGTTGGAAAACAAATTTTTGTCTCAATTCTAAGAAACACACGCAGCTCCTCGTTATTTGCTTGTCTTCCTGTTTTTTTCCCGTAGCAGGTCATGGCAATTTGGATTGTTTTCTTAAAAAGCAGTCTCAGCCCTGAAGATTCCCGCAGGCTGTGTGAGCACGTGTACCTGTTGGCTTGCTTCTGTCTGTTAAATGAACGTCAAATGTAAATGCTAAAATAAATTGACATGTCTCAGAACTGAATAACTGCAGTGACTTGATGCTCTAAATCAGTATAGGATTTAATACTAGATGGTTTTTAAACCTTGAAATCGTGATTGTGACCCATGAGTGGAGGACCTTTCAGTGCTAAAGCTGATCTTGTGTGTAGCCAGAAAGGTACTTTTGGTTTTCTGGTTTTTGTTTTGTTGTTGTTGTTGTTTTTTTTTTTTTTTTTTTTTTTTTTTTGTAACCACTGTCTTAATGACAAAATAATTATGGTAAAGAACAAGTCTCGTGTTTATTATTCCTTAAGAACTCTGTGTTATATTACCATGGAACGTCTAATAAAGCAAAATGTGGTTGTTTCAGGGTGTGTCTGTGTTCAGATGTTCAGGAGGCCACCATGTGCCTGCAGAATGCTTTCCCCCCTGGAATTGTTTCCAGGATCCCTGGTTTGGCTTTGGTTGAGGAACTGTACCAGTTCCACAGTGCTCACTGCATGGCACATGTGGCTGTGTCCCAGGCATAGCCCAGCGGGGTGCCTGGAAGCTGAGTGTCAGAAACTCCCAGAACCCATCCTGGAGAGGCCATCAGCCTCCAGAACTGGGAAGCGTGTGGGACCACATTAGGTTGTGTGGATTCCCTTCTGGGATCTGGGCTTCCTTCCAACTTGTTTACCCTGAAAACCCATCATGCTACCTGAATGCAAGACAGGTAAAGAAACGAAATGTCCTCACCTGTATCCACACCTCAGAAACCAGAATGTGAAGGCCGGGCTTCCACCCTCAGCCACAGGCTGACCTGCTGGTGAGGGCCAGAGCTGGGTTTCTAGGGCCTCTGATAATACTGGTTTTGAAAACACATGAGTGACAAGGGTCCATGCTTTGGGCGCCCTGGGCCCATCATACAGTGAAGTGTTCTCTCTCTCTCACCTCCCCCCCCCACACCCTTTCTCCTCTTTTGGTCACTTTTTGTTTTCTGTCCAAACAGGATGACTGGTAACTTGCAGAAATACTATATGAGCCAGGCATGGTGGCACACAGGGGAGGCTGAAGCAGGAGGCTCACAAGTTCAACGTCAGCCTGGGCTATACAGCAAGATCCTGCTTCCAAAAAAAGAAAAAAAAAAAAAATGATACCAAGATTGTTAAAGCAAAGAGCGTTCAGGTGAAGGAAAAAATAAGAGTAAGGAAAATAAGACAAGGCCCAAGTGGATTAGTAGCAGATACCATGCAGCCTGTAAATGTGCAGAGACTGCTGAGTGTTTTAGTATGGCCAGTGACAGCATCGACCATGAAAGAGAAAAATCAAGCCATCAAAAGAAATCATGAGTCCTGACCCCCAGCCAAGAGGGAAAGGCCTGTGTCCTCTCAGTATCTGTGTTGGGGATTGTGAAGGGCTGACTTTATGATCCAGTGTAACAGGATCTGTCTAGGAAAGAGGGCAAGAAATGTCACACTTAAGAAACCTGTGACAAATAAGATAGAGACCCAGATCCATAGCCCCACCCTCCCATTGCTACCTGAGCCTCAGCCCACACCAAGACCAGCTTTGTGCTCAAGCCCGCAGCCCACGGATCTAGTTCTGCCCAACCCCTAGTAAACAGCGGCCCCAAGGCAAGTCCCCAGCAGCTGTGAGGTCTGCTCTGTCCAGGACAGAGCCTGAAGAGAGGCCCGTGTGGCACCAGAAGCCTCTGGACCCTGGTACAAGAGCTGGCTTGGAAGGGCAGCCCAGACTGTGGCTGGGAATGACTCACACTGACCCTTGGGAACTCACGAGTGGCAGGAGGTTAGACAGTACCATGGTGCTAAACAACCAGGCCAGCTGTCCAATTCTGGTGGTCTGATTAACTCTAAGGACACAGTTCAGTGACAAGCATGGCCTTCAGAAAGTGCTTTGCCTCACCACGCTATGGCTGACGCTACCTTCTCTGGCAAGTTAGAGTAGCTAATTCTGTTCCTTTTCCCAACAGCTGAGGTAGGGATAAGCCTGATGGTGTTACTCTTAGCTGTGCCTTCCAGAAACTGGTTTAACTTCTACGGTCCTGAGTTAGTCTTTCTCCCAGACAGAGATACTGGAGTCTACCCAATCAGACTCAGTTTAGGAGCTGGGAGTTAGCCCTAGCCTGGTCCCCCATCTTTCCTTGCCTTTGGTGAGGACAGCCAGGAATGGGCCATGGGCAGAAGAGTGCAAGGGAAAACTAGGAAGCTGCTGGAAACAGTGTCTCAATGTCTTTCCTTCCAGGATGGAAACAGATTCAGAGACAGACTGAATAGGGGACTAGGAGACATCAGAGATGGTGTGGATTGTCTAGCAGAGCAGTGTGTTGGTGAAGGGGCATGGGTAACAGCCTCACTGTCCTATGCTGTGCCAGGCTGTGCACTCATTAGCTCAGCTGGTCTTCGCAGCAGTGATGCCATGAAGCAGCCCCATTGTGCTAGCAAGCAGACAAGGAGCCAGGAGCACGGGGAGTTGAGTAAGTTGCCCAGAAACGGTTTTGTTTCTGCAGCCAGTGGGCTGGGTTTTACAGTCACATATTTGTTTGTAAGGGAGGATTTGGTATCACGAGATGGCACTTGCCATAAACACCCACATTGCAAAATATCTTTTGTAAATTGGGAAAAAATGATCTGAGGATACATATAGAACATGTGAGATTGGCCAGAAAAAAATATATTTTTGTGTTTTCTGTTTTTTGAGACAGGGTCTCATTGTGTAGCCACTGCTTGAACTTATGATCCTCCTGCTTCTGCTTCTTGAGTGCTGAGATTACAGGTGATACCACCATGCCCAGCCCAGAAAATATTTTGAGAAAAGGAAAACAAAAGGGCAAACTCAGTCCTCTAGACGTTAAGAAATGGTATAAAGCCATTTTAATTACATGCTTAAGATATTAATAGCAAAATAAATAAAATGGATAATGGAAAAGAATTAAGAATCCAGAATAGATCTGGAATTAGATACATGTATTTAGCTGTCTGCTTACCGCTTAAGCAGGAAAAGGGTGATTTATTTAATAGAGCAAAGAGCGGACAGGTTTAAATGGCTGTTATCCACTAGTTCTTCTGAGAAGGCTCTTGCTTAGAGGGGTGTGGGTAAAAGCAGTATGGAAAATGTCAGAGAAGAAGACTTGTGCAGGCAGTCAGGCACAGGGAGGGAGATGTGGGTAGCAATCCTTGAAGAGAGTACATTTGTGTCACAACACAAACTTGGGAGTACACACACACACACATACACGCACACACACACACACACACAAAACACAAGAGGAAAATGGCCTAGGGGAGGATGAGAAGTGTCAAGGGAAACTAAAAATTTTAAGGGATTCAGTTTTTTTTTCTTTTTGGAGGTACTGGGGGTTTGAACTCAAGACCTCATG